CAAGCATATAAAGTCGTGGGGGCTGAATTCCAAACTAGCCTTACCAAGGCATTAAAGGGGGTAAGGTACCATACAGTAAATTCCACCCCTGCCACCAACCATAATAGCCATTGTCAGATTTTAACTTCATCGTTTACGGGACTTGATTTTCTTAGTTTCGCTCAATATATTAATACCAAGTCTATAACAGTGGGATCCAACACAAAATGCTCTACCTTCTAAATGGAAATTCTGGATGGTTTCTACTTGTTCGGACTCAAAGCCCAGAAGAAGGGAAGCACACGCATTTGAAAAAAGGCATCCTTAGATTAACAGCTACAATTCAATGTTGCAAGTGCTTAAAAAAAAATAAGCTAGCAATGACTCCAGAATCATAGCAGTTTAAGAGGGGGCTCATTTAGTGGTAAATATTTTATATTATTTACTTGCCTTAAATTTTCTAATTCCTGTTTCTTCAAAGGCGAAGAAGGTGGAGCTGCAATGAATTTATCCCCTTCATGACTTTTATTGCTAGAATAAAAACAGTATATTAATTATAGGGAGTGACTATAAATAATTAATTAAACATTCTCAGTGTAATAAGCGTTGATATTTATTCACTCCATTTAAAAAGACAGCAAAAATTCTACAGCGTAAAAACCAGGGAAATAAAGCTATGCAGAAATTGAGGCACATGCTCTTATCCTAACCGTTCTATTTCAGAAGGAAGAAGGGGGACATTTGTTGGGAAGGATTTCACTGACAGACCAAAGAACCCACGCCATTCTCCACAGCCTCAAGCTATTTTTGAAGTTTGGTGTAGGACAAGAACTTTAAACTGGAGAGATGCAGAACTCGCTGCATTTGTAGCCTCTCTTCGTTTAGCCTGTAATAAAAGCAGTAAACTAGTTCTCTCCCTAGAAGTCTTAAAAACGACTTACATAAATATTCTAGAAAGCTAATCCACAAAGGATCCTTTAGGCTTCTAGCTACCCTTTATTTTTATTATTTCAAATTGTCTTTTTAAAAAAAAAAAACAAAAAAACAAACCAACCCAAACACCCTTTATTTTTATTATTTCAAATTGTCTTTTTTAAAAAAAAAAAAAACACAAACAAACAAACCAACCCAAAACACCACTTTCTTACAGTCACACTTGGCTTTTTTGGGGGAGCAAGTATTTGCTCTGCTTAAAAAGTATGCAACTTTGCTCTCCAATAAGCTGAAAAGCACCTCCTTCTGGAATGAGAATTGAAGAGAAGGTTAACAGCAGCACCTTTGCAGAGAGAGACACTAAGGTTTAGAAACATTAGATTAAAAAAAAAAAAAGAAAAAGATTTAAATTGAGTCTGTCCACCTAATAAAAACTTTTTCATTGATGTAGTTTCATATCTGTTTATTACAAACAGGTAAATCCAACTTAGACCTTCAAAACAGATAGCAACAGACTCCACAGGAACCTGTACTCAACACTGTTGTAGTGTATATATCTCATGCCTTTGCCAAAATTAGATTAAAAAATACCCCTAACCACTGAAAATATTCACTGTTTTCTTGTGAATAACAGAAGAATCTCAGAGTCAGCCTGCTCAATTGGTGGGATTTTCTTCAAAACCATCCTGTTCAGTTAGTGTGCCTTCCTTCAAATGCCTTATATCTTTTACTATTCTCTTGCAGAGGGTCCTTGTCAGAAGGAGCAAATCCTTGGACAACCTTTCAGAACGCGACACACAAACTGAAGAACAGTCTGCTTTGTTGCTGGATATTTTGAAATTGCCAACGACCACTGGGAGATATGAGGGAGTCATCTTAAAGTTTTTTTTAGCTGAAGAAGCATCTGGTTTTGAAAGCAGAAGGTAGTAAAGGATCTTCCCATACAGGGCATGTTTTCTTTTCCTCACTCCTATAAAAACAAAAAAAACCCACCACCAAAAACAAAACAAAAGAAAGGAGGTCTGGCCTGAGTAAGGGCCACCATTTTGTTTTCATCACTGCCATTCAATGAACCCTGTAAGACTAAAACTGAAGTCTCATTTAAACCAGAGGAGCTTTGTCTCAATGGGCTGCATAGAACTTACCAGGGAAAGTTAGTTCACAACCTCCAACCTCAGTAAGCGAAAAAGAAACACCACCACCACCCAAGTTTATAAATCATTTGGTCACTTGACAGGAAAGGCTATCATTAGGAGAAAAGGGTTACAGAGAACAGCCTTCAAATATTGTTGTGGCAGTAGCAGCCACCAACTTCCAGCCCTAGCCTATCCCCAGGCAACCTCAGAATGTATGGAGAAGTACCTTGTGCTTACGCAACACAGCATATGTGCAGTAAATCCTGCCATGGGACAAATAGATCTTACAGTCTTAAAATTTATCTGTAGTTGGGTCTGACAAAAACATTGTGTTTTTTCATTACTCTCTAAGTAACTCAAGTTCTAATATAGCCACTTTTTCCAGATTAGTTATTGTAACGCTTCCCTTCTCAAAATGGTCACTAATGAAAGCGCGGGCTATGTCCAACAAAGTTACTCTTCAAAAGGAAGCTCAGAATGCATCAGAATCAACACAAAAAATTAGAAGACCTTCCTTATATTTAACATATATTATCTACAAGTTACTTTTTCTGAAGCTTTAAGGAAAAAAAGAGATTTTTCTTAAAACTTTGTAAAATGAAATTTATTAAGCAATAGCTGCATGCTACTTTCCTACTTATAAATCTAGTTTCCCATTTCTAGTCTAAAACAAACATAACAAAGCATACTAGGGCTGATGAATGTCAAATCTGATCATGGGGAAATGTTTACAACTGAGTTACTAGACATTTATACATTCAATCAAGTGCATGGCGCATGTGCACACACACGCAAAATCACTGTTACATGTGAAACTTCACTTACAATTAGAGGAATACCAATATGCACGGCAGGAGGGTGTGGGAAAACATAACATTTGCAGCACAGAAAAAAAGATGGCCAGTGGAAAAAAAAAATGTCACTGTCTAATTTATTAAATTTGCTAGGAACGGTAGGAATCAAGTCAGTATTTTACTCCTAAATTAGCATATCATCAATTAAAACAACAAGCAGCTAAACAATTTCTTTGGACATCCCAGTACTGCTAAGAGAATTTACAAATACATTATTTCTTTCTGCTGGCCAAGCAGGATAGGTAGCGGACACAGACTGTCAGCCCAGAGTTATTTGGACAAAAAGAAAGGTTTATATTCAATTCTGTTTACCTGCATGCTTCACTGCTTTCACTGTTTTCTGTATTTCCCCCAAGCTGGCTACTAGTTTTAGATCCATTTTCCTGCTTTGGCTCCTGCTGATCTTCTGGCAGTAGCAGCAAGGCATTTCTTAGACAAATCGCTGCAAATTCCATACTGGCTACAGGTATTGCTGAGGACTGCCCATCACTTAAAGAGACACAGAAGTTAGCCAGTGAGTAGCAACCCTACTAAATTAAAGAAATAAAAGCAGAACTCCAGAAATATCTGAATGCAAAGAAAACTTTATCCTAAAAAAGCTAAATCATGTTTTAATATAACACATCTAATTTATGAAGACGCATGTATCTTGCTATTCTTATGCATGGAAAGTACACCACGATGCCCAAATCGAGCGAGCAGATTCAACTACATAATTGCAAGAAGTTCTCTTGTTTTTCTTGACTTTACTTCCTGAAGTTTATGACACAGCAACTAGATTCTTCCTGCATTTTTCTAAAGTATATTACTGAAAAAATGTATTTTTAAGTGAGAAAAAGATGACATATTTAGCTAACTGGAAATATACATTTCAGATAACTCAATTTTAAGCTTTAATGGCCTTTTTAGTTACAATGAATACACAGTTAAGCCCTCTGCTGGCCATCATAGAAGCATCCAAATGATGTTTTAAGTAGGACTCATCAAGCATTTTAGCATGCCTCTCTCTTTACTGCATTAATAATTCCAAAATTAACAGTTATTCCATTGCAGTTTTAAAAACTCCTGATAAATAGATACACATCCTTAACAAAGCTATGATAACAAAATGAAGAGCCCATGGAAAACATACTTACTTGTAAACAACATTCTGTATTGACTGAGATGCTAGGACTATCTTACGGTGGTAGCCTTGACCTACTATAGATTGCACAATACCCTTTTTGCTGGGAAGACCTTTAGTCTCTTGTTCTGATGTCTAAAAAGAAAGGAGAAAAAAAAAGAAAAAAGAGGGCTAAAATATCAAGGCTATTGAATGAGAGCTTGACAAAATAAGTGAAAGCTGGAAGAAGACTTTGAACCCTGCTAAAATATAAGAATTAATAGCTTATACAGGTACAATTTTAAATCTTAAGTACCACGAAGGATCAGGCACTTTCTATTGTCTTTGTGTTGCAGAGGGATTTTATGGAACACAGTGTAACCACAGATTAGTTCTGACAGCCTGATAGCCTACTGACCTAGTTTCTCCTCTGTTTTGAAAGCAAAAGAACAATGAACCAGGTAGTATTGAAAGAACTGCTAGGATATCTAAAAAGAAATCATATGATCAGCCAAATAATATTCAGAATTGGCACTGTAATGCTTGCCATCTTCTGTCCCTGCTTACACAGCGTTCAAAATGCTCTCTGAAAAAACTGCTCTCAAACCATTCCATGGGGAGCACGAAGCTGAACTACAACGTATGCGAAGTTACATTAAATTAACTGTTGAACAGATTTTTGAGTATGCAGACATTCTGAGGGTCTTCTGGGAACTGAAAGCACCCTAACTGTCAATCCCAAGAATTATCTCTGCACCATATTCACTGGGGTTTGTTTGTTTTACCATGAGCCATCTTAACTTTGTTTGTAAGTGAAATTAGTGATGAAGAGTCGCAGTTGTAAGGAAAAATTTATCCTAGATCTGTATTTTAAATATCTATCACTTTTCAGAAAATTTGTCAAATCTATCGTGAAGAATATTGACATTATAATGCCATTTACTGTCAAATAGAAAAAAAGAAACCCACAGTTAGTTTGGATATGAAGAATGTATTTCAAAAAGTGCATTAAAAAATGCAGAAGGGGAATAACCTTCCATCTATATTTTATAAACTAAAATACTAAAGCAGGTGAAAGTTAGCTTCAGTGAAATTACTTTTCTGTATGACGTTCAGAGCATAAATATGAATCCATACTTAGATACCAAAGAATATTATTGCAAACTGAGTTACAAAGTCAAATTAAACACACTATTGATTTCAGAGCCTCACTTATATTGCAAATCTATCTTAAAATTTAAAGACACTTCCCCTTTGCCTTTAATATTAACAGCATCCAAAGTTAATTTTTTTCTTGTAAGATTACAAATTTAGGAAACTGCAAGCTGGTTTTGTGACACAAATTCAAGCTCTCTGGTACACCACACAACATCACAACTGCAGGAGGAAGAAAGGTAGGCTTCAGGAGTCTGGCATGATTACTACTTTGGCTAATCTGCAGTAAGAAAGAAGTGCCCTGTAAGGGTCTGTATTTCCCTTTTACAGACTGCTGAACACTGTCCTTGTAAACAGAATCCTAGCTTTGGTTTTTTACCACAAAACCTATGCTAATCCAGTCTCCCATATTCAGCTCTCCACTAGAGATGATCAGCTGTGTCTTCTTTATCTATGTGTGACTTGTAACCAATAGGATAGATATAGAAAATTGCAAAATCAGCATGAAGAAAGCCATTCTTCCTGCACTCACTGTGCTTTATAAAGCCAAGTACTCTGAACTATCTGACAACAGCCAGCTAGCACATACACAATCAAAGTGTGTTTTTAACCAAACACTCCTGAAGCTTCAATGCTGTGCCTGTGAAATGGGGATATAAGCAAACCTCTCCTATAAAGCTATAAAGCTGTGAATACCTTTCTTAAATTTTCTGAAATAGAGACGCCAAAATAATGAGCGACATTGAAATTCCCCAGGGAAAAGTTATAAATTTTATATTTGGAAGGATTTGGAAGGAGGGGGGAGGGGGGAGGGGGGCGCGGGAATAGAGTGACTATAGCAGTTTGATCAATTAATCCCACCCATCCTGTGCACTGAGTGAAATGGGCATACTGTGGAAATATTGCATGATCCCATGCAGTTTATAGATTACATCATCACACCCACCCCACAAGGGGTGAATTACAGTTTCCTGGGGAATCAAGTAGAGTATCTCTTAATTTCACATACATAGTATTTTGGTGTCATTTTCTGTTCAAAAGAACAAATGATCCCTGTCCCCATTACCCATTTGAATTTTAACATACAGGCTTACCCTAAACAGACATGGATCAACAGGTTGAAACCAAGATGCCCCAGAGCACATGCAGTATGTCTGCTGCTAGCAGGTTGCCATAAACTTTGCCAGCGGAAGGGATTCAGTACCCCAGTGGCTGTGATCATGACAGTTTCAGGTGAAGAAGGCTGATCTCTACTTCCTCAGCCTATGTCACTTTTATGGTAACCACACTACAGTCTCACCCCTCCTCAACCTCCAGCAGCAGTTGAGTGAGAAAACATGAAACTTTACACGAGTTTTGGCTGGCTGAAAAGAAGGAAGGTTTCAAGCAAAGGTTTCAGTGGAAATTAGAGCACATCTTGCTGTCTACATCCAGCTTAGTCCTACAAAATGAAGCCACATCTGAATTAGGATAGTGGATTTACAGTATACAGAATTAAATAAGAAGTGTTTAAGGAGTTTATATTACTTGTACATCAAGAAGACCATAAACAATTAATTGAGAACATCCCAGGAAGGAAGCTTCTCTTCAACCAAATACTTTTAGTCATCCTCTACAAGAGTCTTTGCATCTTCCAATAAAGTTCTAGGACATAGTGCTATATTTTGTTTTTAAACAAGATCATTCAGCAGTCTGATCCAATAACCATATTAATGAAAACATAAAAAACCTAACCTTACTGTCTGCTAAAACAGTAGCAACGTGCTTTCAGTCATACCTTTCACACACTAGTATCTAGCCTTAAAAGTAGAGACAAAGGATCTGTACTGCATAGTTGTATGTTTTCTCCTTCTACCCCAGCTAAAACTTAAGAGAGAAACTCATCATTTCAAAGGCTGTAATGCAATTCCTAGAGTCTAAACATCTAATCCTAGAGTCTAAACATAAAATGTTTCAGTCAAAAATTTTCCCCCAAAAAGCAAAACCCCTTCCTCCTTAAAGCATTAGCCAACAAAAGCCATCACAGTTGTTTCTATGCATCAAGCCTCATCAAACCTGGAAGAGCAGTCATGAAAATTTTCCTTCCTTGGTTATTAGAACCAGTCACTGACTCCAATCTCATCCTGCTGTTTCTGCAATCCAGGAATAGAAATCCTTGGAAGTACAGAACTTAGCACAGAGGAAAGACTTGTGCAAGTTTAATTCCTCTGTTCACACAAGAGAGACAGAATTACCTGTGGTGTTTTTCTGGTCGGTTGGTTTTAATATAGACCGTACATATGGATCCATATATATATATATATAAAAAAACCCCAAACCATAAATCCCAAGATTGTTCTACCAATATGAAATGAGTGTGGAAAGATGAGGCATCATAAAATATCCATAAATAGTAGGTCAAACTGTTCATGTTAGTATCTACATTTTAAATAGAGAGTGTTCACTATGCAAAGAACATATTGCTTCTGGAAGTGATGCCTTATCAGAGAATACTACAAATTTCTCCCCAAATAATATCTTTATGTTTATTTCTAAAATTTTTTTCTAAAATTATTTCAAGACAAAGTAAGATAAACCATCAGGTGACTTAGCAAAACCTAATGTGTTTCAAACCAATACGATTACCCATTCAGATTACGAGTTGGAATGCCAAAGGGGTGTAATGGTAAACTGCCAGAACAAATTCATGTTTAACCAGTCTCTCCAGCAAAAAACTTGTAACTTCATAGAAGAGCTCTAACAGCCACTTAGGTGCTTTCGCATGCCATCCTTTTGAAGAGCCTACTCAAATCCTTCCAATCTTAGAAAAGTCAATTAAACACCGGGTCTCAAGACACTGTTTCTACGGTAGTTTTCCTCCACTTGCTGCAGCTTCAGAATAAACACGCAAACACACATATACATAAAAAGAATGAATCTGGACTTACACAGAGGTGCTGCAACATCAGGCCTTTAAAATGCATAGTTTAACTCAAAGTATTATTTCTTCCTTTCTGTGATCAGATGTACTTCATAACTACCATCAAAATAAGGAATTTGCAAATCTACTTACCCCTTTATTAGCAGCAATGCAGCATTCTGCTATTCTCAGCCAAAGACGAGGGTTTGAGTGATAAACCTGGACTGCCTCAATCAGGCATTCAAAGGCAGCTAAGGGCCTCCCAATATGCAAGAGCTGAATTCCACAATTGTAGAGTAACTCATACCTTTTGTTAGTCAGTAGCGTACACATGGGTCTCCCTGAAAATTTTTTACCTGCAGAAAAGAATAACGTAATATTGGATATGCAGGTCAGGAGAGCTGAAAACATAACTCTGGGAGGAGGAGGGAAGCTGTGGGAAACACCTCAAACCTACCAAAACACCCTTTCATCACAGAAATTCACTAGCCTCTCTCTATAAATTCCTTCCATATAAAAGTTGATACCAAAGACAAATTAATTGTATTCTTAATACAGGTTGAAGTACATTAAACGCTAACGAGTTATGTTCCTTGTCACTCAAAGCAAATGTTATATCATACTACTGAATTCCAGATTCATGAGAATACACATCTTTGTTACTCATATCAATTCCAGAAGAAAACCACTTTGCTGTTAACAAGCATAAAACATTTTCTTCACACCAGTACCTAAGACTGCACGTAGGTACAGGGCCAAGGAAGGAATAGGAAAAGCAATAAAATGTGTGATAGTAACCAGATTTTGAAGAAAACAACAAATGAAAAAAATTATCACTTCACCATGAAATCATTTACTTGGAAGAGAAAAAACCTTAAGTATTACTAACCAAAGCAAGAAAACTTATTAGAATGTTTATTTCCTTGTCCTTTGGTGTACTTACAACAAAGTAGATGGATAAAACTAGCCATAAAACTAAACAGTAAGTGAACGTTTCCCATAAAAGTTTGAGAATTGCTCAGTAAGAAAGTTTGAGAAATACACCATCTTCCAAATGCTAATTTAATGGTATCGCACACAACATTTTCTGTATCTTCCAAGTTAAAAAGAAAAAACAACAAAAAGCCCCAAACCAAATAACCCTAAACCAAAACACATCCTTCAAGTCCTGATGATTCTACCTACTGTCAGTAGAACTATAAATAACATCTTTAATGATGCATAATAGGCCAAAGAAACTTTCTTTTTGTCATATCTCCCTGACTGTGAGAGTCTTCAAAGACTATAAACGGGAGAGAAGTAATTGCTCCAGCCTTATGGTACGTCAAAGAAAACAGCAAAAAAAAGAACATATTTCATCCTCATCTATTTCTGGCAGCAGCAACTATACTTTGAAATCAAGTTACAATCAAAATTCTCACCCTCCTTATCCTGTCCTCTGCAAAGAGGTAAAACAGGAGGTTTTGCCAATAATTACTGAAAGCTTCTATCCTCTACTTTCTTGATTTGCCCGCCCCTCTTCCACCATCTGTTTTTACCTTATTTTCACTTTTCATCTTAAAAGTCTTACCTGGATCTGAGCTAACCATTCCTAGCTGTGCACATGCATTATCGTTTTCTTGCAAGGCTTTTTTGAAGTAAAAAATTCCTAAATTGTGCTTGCCCATTGCAAAGTGGATGCAGCCAAGATTGTTCCAGAACATACATCTTAAGCATTCACCTGAAAGAACAGCAAAAGACCATTTTTGTAAACTGAAAAATGTCATTGAGGCCACAAAATGCTCCCACGACTCTCTCATTGGTCAGCATATTATGGTAATTTATTAAAAATGTTCTTCAGTGAGATGTTCATGGATTATGCAGTTACACCCCTGCCTCACAAGCATTTTAATAACCTGTATTTTTATATACCACTCTAGTTCTCTTGGACTAGTTGACTTGAAATGACCTATATATAAGCAGCCCTATAAGCTTTATAGGATTACCATTGACTAAAAAAGCAAAAAACCACACCAACTAAAAATCCAAACAACCAAGAAATGGATCATTAACAAATTAACCAGACATTATTTTAATTGTCACCTAGGAAGACTATTAACTGAACATTCTACTGTGCAAAAAAAGCTAGTGCAAAAAAAGTTATATAAAACCAAAACATTCCAGAAAATGTTACCAAAACAACTTTAAACAGAAAAACTGTCAAAAAGATAAGTTACAGTAAATTCTAGAAGTGTCAAAATATGCCAGAATAGGCATTATGGCAAATATTTTTTATTTTTAATGTTTTCCACTCAGTAAATTCTAGAAGTGTCAAAATATGCCAGAACAGGCATTATGGCAAATATTTTTAATGTTTTCCACGAAATTTGTCTGTAAATACAGAAGTTTACAACTCAGTCTTGTGATTCACAGAGCCAACTCTGCAACTTCTATAATCTAACTGCAATCTATGCAGCAATATCTACAATATAACTTCTTGTGCTGCTAAGAGTACTAATCACAAAAGCATTGAACAAAGTAGTAAAGAAATTCAGTAGTTTGACAGTGCAAGTATTTTTTGAAATTCTAACTCTCTACTGACACAAGAGACAGCTTTCTCTCCAGATTTTTCAACGTATGTTTTAAAGTCAACTAAATCTCAAATATATTTAAATAATATAATGTACAGTGGGTGTATATATATACAGCGTATATATTTATAGAATATAAATAACTCTTACATCTAAAAAGTTATACACACTTGTGCTGTTTTATCTCTGTGTATGTGTACACATATATATTTTCTAGATATAAAAGTAACTTAAAACGTTTGCGTTTCCCCCACAATAATAATTACAACTGCTATAGTCTCCTCTCTGAGTACAATCTGAAATCTCATTTCTAGGTCTAGTACATTGCCTTTTGTTTCATGTCTTGATTTAGAGACCCAAATATAAGCCTTGCAAATATTACATTTACATCTTCACAAATCCATTTTCTTAGACAACCACTGCACTGCCTAGAAGAATGTTCAATGAAAAAAACAAAACAGTGTTATGTGAAGGAGCAAAACAAGAAAGATGAAAACATATCCAGCATACAAACCCATGACATTCAGGGCCTACTCCCTTAAGTAATCGTTAATATGCTTAAAATTAATATCAACGAGTAGCCCTACTATAATACACGTTTACGTACTTGCAGGATGTTTTTTTACCTGTTTTCATGAAGCCTGGATGTTCAGCAATGTTTGCACTGTTTAGAAGTTTCACCGCTTTACGATAATTGCCCCTCAAATACTCAAAATTGCTTTTAAGAAAGAGAGAAGGAGCTGACTGCGAAGGAGAAAACAACAGTTCATTACCTTTTGTTTTATAATTCATAATTCATAATTTCTACTGCTAGCACTAAATCACTCCAGAAACAGCTTTCCCCTGCTGCCGTTTTAAACATACACGGGCTTAGGCCTTAGTACTTTCACGAAGTAGCATTTCTTTGTTGAGCACATGATTAACACTCACCTCCTGCGAACTACAAAACTATCCGTATTTTTTGTTACTGCTCTAAAATCCAACATTATGCTAGAGAACTCTGTCATGGCAATGGCTAAGCGCAGAGGATCTCTTTTTTGTTTAAGAGGATCTTTTTCCAACCTGTCTTCTAGTATACTCCCCACGCTTCCCTCCCTGCGGAGTTCAACAACTTCCTCCTGGGCTGTGATCTTCCTGGTCTGCCAACAGAGACCTCACGATCCAGAAGGATTTCTGTCAAACTAGCAGCTGTTGAGAATGGCAACAAAAGGGAAGTGCTCTCCTCCCATTCCCTGCTCCTCAGTTAATGTAGAATTTATCTGGGATGGTGGACGTAATTCTGAGTTGAGAACTCCTATATAAAAAAAGAAACTGCTTTCTAACAAGAGGTAAGCCTCCAAAAACTCCAACAAAAAGAAAAAAAACGAAAAAAAACCCTGGATACCCCAGAATTAACCTTTTATGAACTGGTTTAAACCACCAATGACATCAGAAGTTCATAATTCCCGTAACATTTATAGTAAACTAAAACCTGTTTTGCGCTGCTTAAATTATAAAGCAAACTGACCCTGTTTTGGTATCACTAGCAATACAGTGCATTTTTCTGAGCAACTGAAAACAGCGCAAATAAGAAAATTCTACTTTAATTACACTTGCAGAAAAAGAGATTACAACTCTACAGAGAGCATTATTTCAGACATTCATCTTCAATAAGACCTTTCTTTGTAAAGAAAGTTAGCAAATTCAGTTTTAAGATAGAGAACATATCTAGATTAGAAAAACAATAGCCTTAAGAATACTTACATTCCCAGCTGTATTCATAACAGACTTGATCTCCCTTTTGCATGCTTTTAGTGACTTCATCTGGATATAGGCTCTCACCTTATACTGTTAAAAAAAAAAAAGAAGAAATTCATTAAATAAAAAACAATCACTTGTGCAGGTTTGCAAGATGAAGTATTTCTAGAGAATTTTTTTTATTTATTTTATATACATCTTAAAAATAGGTAGTAAAAAGCTGTTCAAAATGTCTTCCTGAAACAGAAATTCTACTCAGACATTCAACAACAAATTTATAGGTTTCATATTTACAGTAAGCAGATGCATGTTTTGTTAAATGGTCAACAGCTACTTTATATTCAAACACTGAGACACAAGTACTTAAAACACACTTAAAATGACAAACTAATTAAAATAATCCAACCTTGTACTCCCAAGACATTTATCTATTAACCTAAAAACTCCGTTAAGTGAATGCAGATAGGGAAGCATTTTGTTTCTTCACATATTTTTCAGCAGAACAGTACAGTGAAATAAAACCTCAGCTGATTTAGACTGTTGGAGGTCTAACAGATACAGAGTCAGTGCAGCTAACTGCAGTTTAAAACAATTATGACAAACTGCAGGGATTGAAATTGGGGATTTTTTGTGTTAGGTCAGTTTTTCCTGTACATGGATCTTACAAAAAGGAAGAGTTAGTTGTTTTGTTTTTCAATGTGAAATTCAAGGAGAGACAGATTATCACAATTCATGCTGAACTAGATTTGAAGCAGATGGCACTCGGTTTTAAGAAAAACTTGAACTGATGTTCTTATACAAATCATATGCAGACACTTACCTGATGTATCTTAGATTTAGCAACTTCTATTAAAGCTCCACTTTCAGCTTTTTGATTTGAGGAATCTTTATTTGTATTATTACCTGACTGAGCATCAAACAAAAAAAAGGAAGCATTACTAACAGTTGCATTTTAAATCCAGTTTACAGATTCTTTCATAAGCTATTTTTATCAATCCCACACGAAGAATAAAAATAGGCATTTAATAGTGAAAAAATACACATCCCACCAAATACTGTATCAATCAAAATCCAAAAAAGCTTAACAATCAAAATCCAAGAACAACCACACCAGCCTATGAAGAGTAGAATTCTATATTAACTAATTAATTAGTGTTACGCTATGTTGCTCTGCAGCTGAGGTACTTCAAGAATTCTCTTACCCAGAAGGATGATATACATATTCTAGAGTCTCTCTTTAATATTTTCTTCAGCAGAATACATTTAAAGACAAAATGTTTTATCTTGTGTGAATTTCCATCAACAGGAAAAGACAGAAGTGTCCTCTTTTCACTTCCAAGGCACTACTCATTCTACGGATTTTTCCAAGACACATACAAAAGATTTAATTTGAAAGCGTGCCTTGTACTTTCAGATACTATATAAAGAGATGCTTGATTTCCCATACCGTGGTATGCAACTGCAATTCCTCTCTGACACCAACTTCCCTTTCAAACTTAGGGTCTCATATGGTCATAATCCAAGACAAACAAGGAGAACTATTTGTATTTGGCCCTGAAGACAACTGCCTTTCCAATGCAAGACTCTGACTTAAAAAACACATCTTAGCTCCCTGAGAGTAAGAGAAAAGGGTGGAAGAGAGGGAATAAACAGCTGCTGTATACAATTAACTCAGTTGCTAACACCTATAAGTTGCTGTCTGAAGTTACAGGTGATCTAACATAGTTCTGTAATTCCAAAGTATCTTAAAAGAGTAATTTGAATTGAGTTAAAGCATACTTCTCGTAAAGACTTAGTGGCATTCATATGATTTTAAGCTTACCTCATTTTTTCCATTCTTGCTGTTATTGTTGCCCTGTGAAATCATTTTTTCCAGAACAGCAAGCAGATGCAAGGCTTTCTCAGCTTGGTAAGTCAGCAGGTATAAGTCTACAAGCAAGAAGCACACAGCCTGGGCAAACTTCTCTTCTGTATAAAGTGGAGAAGAAAAATGATTTTAGAGCTCTAATACCAATCCTTCCAAACATGACTGAAGAAAAAAATAATTACTATAGAGTGAATCTGTGCAACATTATGAGAAAAATAAATACATTACTTAAGAAAAAAAAAATATAGACATCTACGTAATGCAGATAAGTACATATACTGAAGAAAAAAAAATAATTCAAACAGCATCAGCATAAAAGCATAGACTAAAGACAGCTTAACATGTATTTCACATTTATAGATTTTAAGAACTGGTCTAAGCAGATCAGCACCAAAGATCCTTAATTTATTGAGACACACACACAGGCCCCCTTCAGCCTTGTCACTTCTAAAATTCAACAAGGATTATAAAGTTATTTCATACAAGTATGACAATTCCCCTACACAGGGTACCATAGCTCATAAAAGCTGGAGACTTTATATTCCGATATGAGCACATAAAATTAGGTATGACCTAATGCAGGCATTTAAAAATATGAGTGCCTTGAAAAATACACACCAACCCATGAAGTTGTATGATGACTCAAACTACTACATTTAAAGTCACTTAATTAGCTTGTACATATTATTTACATAAATACTTTTTAAAGTTGTCAAAAACCTATTTCCGTTTCATTATACTTGTCTGCTAAACATCTCTAAAGTACCTTCCCCCCAGATTCAATTGCTGGCCTTGATATAAGTAAAACATTCTTCATTGCAAAGCCTACCTACTTTTTTAGAACCATATTAGGCAATTTACAAATCACTTGTCCGATAGTAAGAAAGACTGAATAATCTTTCTGTAGTTACCGCATGAGCAAAACTCTTCTTTCTGTCTACATACCGAAAGGCTCTATGAACTGGTACAGCTTCTCCCCAACTGATATAGCTTCAGTATACTGACGCAGATGATACAAAATAACAGCTTGATTGTAGTACAGCATACTATTTTCAACATCATCTAAACCATCCATTTCTTCAACAGCAGAGTGAACCTGAAAAAAAACCCCACTAGTTTCATTAAACTTTCAATACCTATGATTTAATCTGTCTAAAGATAGGTCAGTAAGGGTTATAAAACAATAAACTTTATTGTTGTTCAACATAAATCCAGCAAAAAATTTACAATGAAATCGAGAGTAAAATTGCCCCTTTTTTATTATTTCACAAACTATTTCAGGTTAAGGAACTTTCTATTGAAGAAACATAAAAGACCCGCTGGTCTTTCTACAGTTATAGCTCTGAAACATTTCAGCTTCAGATCAATTTCAACAATAACCGAAAACATATCTATAAACAGTGTCCTAAATGATTAAACAGACTCAGAGGTTTAAAAGTAACGTTACTTTCTCATTCCTTTATGAAACCTAGGGGACAAGGGGCAGAAGTTTTATTCCTATTCCACTGGAAGATCTCACCACCACTAACAGTACTCAGAATCAAGTACCATGTCAATATGTTTACATTACCTGGTTCTTCAGCTGGTTAAGGGTTTGTCTCAAATTGTCTGTTGTGGTCTGGTTACTTTTACAGAACTCTGCAACAGCAGTATTCAAAGTTATTTTGTAGTCATCTTTGTTTATGTCTTGAAGGGTATTTAGGTGTTGTAAACAAGCATCATAGTTTCCAGCCTGGAAATTGCACACATACCAGAAACAAGCATTAGAAGATACAAAGTTTAAACTAGCAGGCTAGTTTTAATGAAACTATCCTTTGTAAGTTTAGAGAGCAAAGTAGCATTTCCTTTATTGGCAGCAAGTGAGGTGAACTAAAGGTCCCTTCCAACCCAAAATATTCTATGATTCTGTGATAAATGTTTACACACATACTTCATTATTTATGCAGATTAACATGTATGAGAAGCAAGTCTGAAATTTGAGGTCATATCTAAACTTCAAAAAGAATTTTGTGGAGGAAGGACAAACAGCGTAGTCAGTTATTATAAACAGATGTTTCCATGAAAAGTGTTATTCTGACTTCTCTACAGCGTATTATTTTGAGTTTCAAGATTCTTTATTTCCTCAGTTTTCATAATCTTTCCCCATCACATGTACACTGAGCGGCTGCAGTTGCTTATGTAAGTCCCAGCCCATCATTTTATGTTCATTCTTCACTTCATCTGGAGAGACTGTGAGTTACAATTTCGTCTGTGGAAGTCAGCTTAAGACAGGTTGGAAAAAAAAGGGCGTCACTTTCCCAGTACAAGTTTAAATAATATTTTTACAAATTTTAGCTGCTGAATGAAGTATTCAATCATCTAGGTATGTCTGCTGAATGAAGTATTCAATCATCTAGGCATGTCTAAGCAGAAACTAGGACCCAAGCATGATGCTCCTGTGAGGTGTGATTTCATCATCAGGAAATCCCTTTTTTGACCTCAGGAACAGGCAAGGACTTCTGAACAGCTCACCTCTTTCTGCTTTCACTTTTGTTTTTTTCTGTGTTTGTGCAGGAGGAGTTTAGTGGCATTGAGGAATGAAAGAGAACTCCAGACTCTTTCAACTATGTTAAGCCTAAATGACCCTTCACTCTCTAGTGTTCGATTCCTATGCAGGAACCTTCATCTCTTCCACATCAGGGTCACTTCCAATCTGGTCAGTCAGATAAGATGATTAATTTTCATCCCTGTCAATGCTTCACAATCAAAAGCTACGCTCTTGAGTACCATGACCGCTCTCCACTTCCTCCTCCTTTTAAAGCGCTGTTCCATGGAGCTTCTCCTGGGCTCCTGCCTAACTTTCTCTATTAAGGGAAGAATTACAACAGATAAAGGCTCTGTGGTCCTTCTGCTCTTCCCGAGAAACTTGCCATTCTGCAGCTACTCTCAAAAGAACCATCCCATCTTCAGTCTCCTGTGAAAGCACTGTTATACAATACACAGAGATGTAGCAGAACATCAACGCACACTATTTCCACAACTCTTAAGTATCAACAGCATGGATTGCCTAGCAATCATGTGCATAAACACAGGGACTTGCAACTCAACTGCTGGCATGCTCTTTAATTGAGACAGTTAATCTCTCAGTGATTTTCTTTTATGTGTTCACACTCAGAGGTTCTCTTCAACAGAAGTAGCTTTCAGATCACAGCAACAAGGCTTATAACCATGGCTGGACTAAAAACCTTGAACCCTTAAATGCTCAGCTTATTCCATGCTGTTTTTCCTCAGCCAACAGTCCTTTACTCTATTACACAGGATCTAGAATATAATATGCAATGTTATAGTAATTCAATCAAGACAGAAATTGGAAGTGCAGTATGATAAAGCAGCGTGCAAGGCAGTCCAGAAAGCTATTTAAAGCAACTTGATAGCAAGCAAAATCTGCAAACAAGGCACCAGATTAATCCTGCTGACATCTGTCACCACCTCACAACATCATAAACTTAGGGAATTCTTAAAGCAAGCAAAGAGATAAACAAGATACACTGGACCAGTATAAAGACTAAAGATGAAGTTGCCAACAGATCAGAAGTATTTTAGGCATGTAGATCTGTGGGCAAGGTGAAAAAACAGGCAACCCTTTCCTATGCCTTCAGTTCTCAGGATCAAATGTCCATGAGCAAAAAGTTATTGAAAAAGAACTGTTGAGCTAGAAAGCACTCGAGAAGACATCAGTGAACATCAGCTGTAGTCAGTTTAAGGACCAACTACATGCACTTCATGTAGCAACATTCCAGACAAAAGAAAAGTAATGAGTGAAACAGACAAATAGAAATCTCAAAAGACAGTATTTAAATTCTTCTCCCAATGTATTTAACACATCCAAAACTGAATTATGCAAAGCATTGCAGAGACAGAGATACAACAATTGAAAGGAAAAGCAATTATAGTTCATTTCCTACATTAAATAAAATCAAGAGGTGATATAAAGAAGTAAACTGAAAGCGTAGGTACCTGAATTTTAACACACAAAAAAAAAAATCTTCCAAGAAACACAAAATGGATAGCTAACACTGCCTGTAGGTATTACGTGTTGAAGAACTGTTTTAATGCAAAGTGACAGAACAGTATACAATGCTTTTTGTGAAAGAATATAGCAAGACGCTAAAATGAAGAAGGTTTATTTGGTTGCTGGTTTTTAATATACATGGCTCCTTTAAACCCTTTAACAGAACATTTTTAGCTTGAAGAGATTAACTCTTCAGAAAGAGATCATGCATTTCCAACGCTGGTACAGAATAGCAGCCTGCTTCTTTTAATTAACTCATTATACAGCTTTTAAGGCTACTAAGTTTTGAGAACAGAGTGCTCTTGCATGCTTCGTTCAAGTATCCCTTTCAGTCTTCTCACATCATAGCAGACAGAAAATGCACGTGCTGGCTTTATAACAAAACTAGTGAGACTTTTGACATAATATCCCATTAAAACCTTTGCAACTATGCTACGAAAAGAGGAAAAATAATTATATGAACCCACTTAGGAGTTATGTGGTAAATTAAAAGTCTCAGAGTTTGTCTTTGTCTTACCAGAAAAGCTTGTAACGCACTGCTTGACAATTCCTTTTCCTGATCGGTAATCCCAGAAGTGCCTGCTCCTTCATGTTTCTCGGTACCTTGATCTGTAAAGCGGACAGAATATTACAGGGGAGTTTGCAAATGTGATGATAGCTATTCGGCTTAAGAGTTTTGTTTTTTCCAGTTCTCAAGATAAGATCCTTCTGCCAGTACAAGTGACTTCCCAGACAACTGCAGCACTGACTCCCTACTACACTAAAATATCTCAAGTTAGCCTACACTCCTAGCAAATTCCTCTCCATAAAATGTAAATGTAATAATCCCAGCTAAATTACTGTGCTCAATCAATAACCAAAACTCTGTAAATTAATTGACAATGCATACGTTTGAGATTTCTCTTTAAAGCTTCAGCCATACATTAGCATTGGCTTTATTTGCAGAAAAATTAGCAGTGAAGGCCACACATCATAGAAGTACCACACTGGGTTAGATGAAAAATCCATGCATCCTATATGCTGCTTCCAAAACAGCATGCAAAGGATGCTTTAGGGAACAACATAAAAAACAGAGCGAACACTGGAACTTCCCCCCAGCTCCCTGCTTTGGAAGAGTAAGTCTCCCTAAAAAACGAGGCTGCAATTGAACCATCATTGTTAATAATCACTGACAGACATGATATATTTTTTTAAATCTCTTTATACTTTCGTACTCTTCAATATACTCGTTTGATGCTATCTAGTGATTATACTGCAAGACACAAGCAAATGCTGCCTATTCACTTTTTCAGCCTCACTCCTGATCTACAGATCTTTCTTTGAATCATCTCTCCTCCAAAGTGAGCAGGCACAGTTTATTCTACATCTTCCTCACACATTTTTTTCCCCGTCTCTTCTCCATTTCTCCTATATCCTTTTCCAGATTAAGACAACAAGAACAGCATATAGCAATTATGATGGTGGCCTCTTTGAGCATTTATACAGTAATATAATGAGGTTTTAATTGTCTTCAATTTCATTTACATACAATTCCTAACATTTTACCTTCCAGTCACTGTTGAGCATAATTTTCAGAAGGAGTCTACTGAACCCTTTTATCATCATACAATTAAGAATTCAGTGAAATTGCATTAAAAACTACAATACAGACATTCCACACCAAAGAAGCTGAAAAAAACCCCCACCAAACCCTTCCTTGTACTGAACACAAGCTACTGGAGGGAAAAAACCCAAACCAAACAAAACCACAACAACCGAAACCACCACATAACCACCACATCAGACATCTTATTTCTAGAATCATTAACCCATGTGCTAGAACATGCAAAAATCATTAAATGTTTTTGAAACAAAGACTTTTATAAACCAGTGATAGTTTCTACTCTTGCAGATAATGTCTTGAATTTCACAGTGGAAGCTTTGCTCTAACCTACATTTCGCTGTCTTAATAGGCTAGGTAGGCTTTGTAAATTCAATGCTTCTTTCTCCTCTTAGAATCCAAGGACGTAATGCAAACTCTGCTAACTAACATCCACAGTAGGAATAAAGCAGACTTCGTAATCTATTCATAGTTGGTGCTTGTTGCTGGGAAGATAGCGAGACCCCTCTCATTGCCCTATGCAATAACACATTTGAGCAAGAACTATAAATATTTGGTTGTGTCTTTCATGCTGCATCAAGATGTCAGCAAAGTTGAGATTTTAAAATCTCAACAATCTTACACCCTCAAGTTACAAAGTAACCCACTGTGATTTAGACAAAATTCAGGATTTAGCAATTTCAGTACTCTGGAGGGATGGATCCTCAGGGGGCTACAGACAGCACGTACCTGCTATAAAATCTGACTGTGCATAAGGGATTGATCAACACCACTTGCACTGCCTTTTCCTTGAAAAGGAAAGACAGGAGAAAAAACACAAAAAAGCTCAGAAAATTTTTGATGTGCCAAGGCTTTCCGCAGCAAAAGAGGAAAGGAACAAGAAGCATCTCTCCTTCAAGCTAAATATAGAATAGATCTGATTCCTGCTCTAAATCTTGTGGTTGTACAGCTGAACAGAAAGCTATCACCCTCCAAGGATCTCCAGAACAGCAGCAAATAAGCAAACGCGTTTTCCCTCAAACCTTCCTGCTAACAGTTACATTATCTGCTTTACTTGCTTGGCATGTCTTTCAGATTTTGCTAGTAAAAGGTAACCATAGCACAGAGACTTGAGACTCCAAAAGTGTTGAAGCTGACATCGCTTGGTCTGGTCAAGAGGTTCCTCCCATACCCATTTACCTGGCAGAGTGCCATCAGCTACTGAGTGCAGTTACTGATTACTGCCATTGTATGCAAGTCTGTAAAACAAGCATCTCAAATTAAGCTGGAAGTTTGAATCCTGAAGTAAATGTCTTAATTGAAAGATAAAGCAAAGAGATCGTTGTCTAAATTGTGTAATAAAAGCACCACTTATATAGCTGTTTGATGTATTTCCTAGGGAAAAATCAGGACAGGTCTACAGATTTCACTAAGTCTCTAAGTCTGTTGGTATGTAAAAAAAAACAAAATGAAACTGGGGGCTACTTTAAGCAAAACCAGAGCTGTCTCTTCTCCTATAAAGTCAGTTTTATGGCTGTAACCTGATCAATTGCATCTACTACAACTCAGTAAACAAAGCAGGTTTGCGAAACCTGAACTGGAAGCTTATCAAGACAGAATAAAACTAAAGTCCAGCTGACATAGTTCAAAGCATAGCTCCTTCGTTTGAAAAAACCCTTTTTGCCCAAACACACTTGAAACCTGTTAAAGAGCTAAAGGTCCTTCTAATCTACTGTAATCCTGCCACTCTTGTTTAGACCAGGATCTACTGCTTCAGTTGATCTTTGTTATCAAGAGATCTCACAGACAGGAGTCACCTAAAAGCTGGCTGGCCCAAGATACCAAAAAGAACCCTTCAATTCCACTTAAATGGGGGGAGGAAAAAAGTTACTCTTGTTCTCTTGGCTGCAAATGGCTATCAAGTACCGGCAAATAAAACTATTATTTCCATATTTCTTGAGGCATTTGAAAATGAAACAGGTAGGTGCAACGTTCCCTGGCACAACATACAGCATGCCCCTTGCTCACTCAGATCTAGTCATCTTCAGCATTTTTGCAGCAGCATGCAGTGTGGGTAACACAAGGCACACCAGTCACCACCGACATGCTCCTATCCGTACAGTAGCTACAATTATCAGCTGAAATATCTGGAACATCGCAGATTCTCTGCTTCACAAATGACAGGGCTTGATTTGTCTCTGTAGATTGTATTTACGCATGGACCTGTTTGTTTAACCTTTCATTTTGTCCAACTTTCCTAAGTACAGAAGAACTCCAAAACTAATCCTTGTCAGGCTAGTGATGAGGAGCAAAAGGGGCAACCTGGAAAAGGACATAAAAATCAACCGTGCAGATTTTGATCTGGAGGAAGCTGCTGCACAGAGTTTGAAGTTAAAGAAGCAAGTCCGGAAATTATCCTCCTAGTTAGCAATCCTGGGGCTAAGCAGCAGAAACACTGTGTCACGGAGGCTTGTTTGCCTTGCACAAGCAGGCAGTCATTCCTACTGGAGAAGTTACATCATGGTGGACAGCAGAACTTTGGGAAAACTGGCTCTGTGAGAGGAGAACAAGGAAAAGCATGAGACTGCCACCTGAAAAGGGAGATTGCTCTCCTCAACAGCTTGCCACACCTCCCACATAGACATACCCAAAGGCACCTGGAGAGTGACTGCAGTCATCAACCTTCTCATACCTCTTCTCCACATCTCCAAGGGCTGCTGTTCCCGAGCTCTCTTGTTCCCAGGCCCTGTAAACTACATCTTGCATGAACTGTGCTGTTGAATACCAGAGCATCTCTGGAATTATTTTTTCATTCCCAAACTCTACAGGCAGGAAGATAATCTTTTCCTTGGAAGGGGAGGAATGTTACACATGACTCTTGCTGCAAAAACATTTTAAAGAGTATGAAGACCAGACAGAGTGTTCAGCCTTTATAGGATGATGACAGTTTGTGGCACTAAGACCACATTTTTCTATGAAGCAGTGCACTACTAGTATAAATACGAGACTTCTTTGATGCTGTACGATAAAAAGCAAACGCTTTTCAGTGGAAAGTTATGTGTAACTCACCGCTATGAACAAGTACAGTATGTAGAATATCTTGCTATAGCTCACGTCTTTGATTCGTTCGGGCGCATACTTTTATTTTAAGCAAGTGCAACTGAAAAGTTCCTTCAACGCTTCCAAGAATAACAACAACAAAATAAAAAAACCTTAATGTCAGGGTTTTTTTCTTGCTGTTTAGGAGACGCTTACGGTGCTTATAAATAAACACAGGATAGTTTAGTACACATCGCTCAGCACAGCGCACTAGCTTTTCCCACAAACGTTTTCAGATACTGAGGAGTTCCATTTTTAGCGTCCAGAGAAAAAAAAAAAGTCTGAAATGATTTTAAATAATGCTGCCACCACATAAAAGCCAAAACTGAAGAGCACAAGTAGATCCCTTTGGCTTTCCTCCATATCGCTCTCCTCTCCATCCCCGCTGAGCTGCCATCTGAGGGAGGACCTCTCCTGCAAAGAGGACTTCTTGCACGAAGGGCAGTCTCACAGGAGATGGACAAGCTGTAGCCTACCAATGCTAATTAGCTGCACAGCAACTATAGCTGAGATTTATTTCGGGTGTTTACCGGAGGATGATTTGTTTTTTAACCTCTGTGATTTCTCTCTACAGTGTCTTTTCAGGCCCGAGTTTAGGCAAGACCCACTCATCCCCTGAAACCAAAGAGGCAACTCAGGGGGAATCGGACTGAACTCCAGAGATTAAGCAACAACACGAAGCGGTCAAGTCTCCCCAGCACCTTCCGAAAGCCCCAGTTTAACACATTAACCCAAAAGCTCAACTTCCGTAGCGGTAATACCCGCTCAGCTCTGCGAGGCACCCCCCCACACACACCCCGGCCCGAGCCCTTCTAGGCCAGGAGGGCACCAGGGCCGAGGGCACGGAGGGCCCCATCCCGACGGGGCCCAGACGGTGCCTCCGCGGGGGCACTACTTCCTCGGCGGAAGGAAACATTCAGGGCGCAGGACACACCGTCAGTTTCTCCTTCCGTCCGGAGCGTACCGGCACTCACCGCCCCCCGCGCGGGAGCGTATCCCTCCGCACCAGGCGGCCCAGGCCTGAGGCGGGTA